TTTCCCATGGCCCCACGAACCAAACACGTGATGACACGTCACATCATAATCGTTTTCCCAACCGTGTTACGAACACATTCTCCCTTCACCACCCCCCGTTTCCCACACATCAAAAACAATCACAAACGACGAATCAAAGGTATACATTGAAGCACATTTTTATCTTAATTTGGTTATATAACTCTATTAGCCCGAAGAAGTAGTTGTCAAAAACGAGTTTGTTCACTAAAAGCCGTGTTGAAATTCAAACAAGTATTTCACGATCATCAAGTTTCCTCGTCTCTTCAAACGTGGTCAACCTGGATGCCTCGAGTAGTTCGGCGATGCATGCATGCATCAACATTGTAGGATTGAAAAACTGGTTGCACCGTTGCAAAAACAAAATTTTTTCACAATAGGTATGGGCGAGCCAATAATAAATTGAACGATCACTAGTCACTCAAAAGACAAAGATAAATCGCATGCATTAGAAATACACAGATCACATTTGTTGTCTATCTAGTATCCGTTCGTTTTGGGTCCTCCTTGGTGGCCAACTCTTGTGAATTTTGTCCATCTCTATGCTCATCCATTCAGATAGTTGCGTTCCTAAGCCAAACAAGAACGTAGAGGTGTTTGGAGTTCATGAAGTATTTCCCAGCCTTGGAAAACAAGAATTTGAAGCCAATCGTCGTGGTTTGATGATAATAGGTCGTGCATCAATAATCCCAATCGATTCAATAATCACAGAACTCAATGATGGACACATTAACTCTTGCGTTAAATTTTCCAGTAAGATTCTGGATGACCCTCTTCACTCACAGCACCCGATCTGTCATCCGATCGTTGTCATCCGTTCCCGCGCTCCTCTTTTCGGCATCTACCCTTTCGTACTAACATTTATAAATATTCTCCTGTACCCTACCTGGCCCGACTCCTAACCAAAAAGAAACAGGACACAAGTGGAGTAAGCCAGAAGTTTTGTACATGTTACATTGAACGGTATATTTCATTCCGCATGACGACCAGTGTATATTTTTAACTGAAATTTAAGCAAATATGCTTGTAAAAGTTAAACAAATGCGAACAAAAATACCTTGTTCGCGATTCCATCAACCCATATTTAACTTCTGCTAATCTCCTTTAATCTTAAAATATCGACTTGGGTGGCAGTATGATCACAAACTGATTGATCGTGCTACGGCAGTGTCACAAGCACCTAAGACGCTAAAAAGTCTTTGAAGCAACACACCATAATATTTCGAATTATTTGAGTAAAATCAGCACCAGTTCACTGCATGGTCATGAGGCCGAAACAGTGCAATAAATCTTGCTTTGTCGTGTTGAAGATTAATTGGCTATTTGTATTTGATTGTGCTCCTCGTTCAGATCGAAAAGTAAACTCATCGTCAGAAAAGTTTAAAAAAATTAAACACAACATAATCGTTCTCATTATCAACAACAATGAAGGCTATTCAGTTGTATATATTGTGCAGCTCGCATTGACAAATAGTATCAATTACCGGTCAGATTCAGTCCGATTGGTGCCAGCCCGTTGCAAGCGTTTTCTGTTTGCAAATTCCTCCGGATCTATAGTTTGCGTGTTGAACCCTTCGCACCGTGCTTCACCATAGTCACCGAAAAACTGAGCCATACAATCGAATACTTGCAGATAGAAACACTCGTCTAGCCAGTGGTATATCTAGTTCAGTCCCCATTAGTGAACTCACGATCACGTGGTCAATGTCAGCTGATTATTAGAGCACAGAACTTCAAAGTACCGAGTATTACCGTATTTTAGTTGATCAGTTGTGGACGTTAGAATTAAGATCGCGATTGTCCCAATAAGATAAACATAATTGTACAATCCAGTGGCTGAACTCTCGTTTCACGTATTTAAACGTCACCGATTGAACTATCGTAGACGTTGTAGTGGGTTGGTGGTCCCCGTTACGGTTTGGGTAGGTGTGTCTATCATTGTAGTCAACAGCCACTGAAGACAAACCGTTGTTATAGTACACTTGATCACACCGAGTGAATGCACATTGTGTCTCTGTTGCAAAAGCCGATTCCTAATTGGTAATGCGAGCCATCTGCATCGATCTTGAGTGGACCCGTTGAGTTCATTGATTAGCAAAAGCGGGGTTTTAAGTATATTTTTTCAGGATCAATGAATGTGTTTGACAGTGGAAAAAGATGCATTCGGGTCAGTAGGTGAATTCGAAAATTCATTTTTGTGGTACCCGGAAAATTTAAAAACAACTGTTGACAGATTAGATCGACCCTGAAAAAGCTCTCTCTCTCTAATTGACTGCTAGAGATAACAATTCACTTAATAAACGACTTTCAGAATTATCATCCAAATCCCACTAATCCCACTGCCCAAAGTTTTAAAAGCGGTTTTATTTTGAATGACAAGAATCGAATCAACCTTGGCCACTGTTTGATTTCAAAATAAGCAAAGGAAGATAACGTGATACCTCTTCGGAATTGAAGCATGCCGACTGATTTCGCTGATAGAATTAAGCTAATTCTTTACTAATAATATTGATTGAATAGATCTACTGTCGCAGGATAGAAAAGGGTTGTACACTGTCTGGTGATGTGACCCAACAAGTGCAATAGTTTCTGCCCTGTTGACCCGCTGACGACTAATCGAACGTTCGCATTCGATTGTGCTTCTCAATCAGATCGGCAGACAAATTAAAAAAATAATAAACACGACATAATCGTTCTCATTATCAACAACAATGAAGGCTATTCAGTTGTATATATTGTGCAGCTTGCATTGACAAATAGTATCAACTACCGGTCAGATTCAGTCCGATTGGTGCCAGCCCGTTGCAACCGTTTTCTGCTTGCAAACTCCTCCGTATACGGTTTGTTAATTGCTTCGTGGTGAACGCCTTGGTTTCCACATAGCACTGTACAACCACGACCACAACCTTTCCTTTGCGATATGGATAATATATTTTTGGAACATCGTGAAGTTTCACATCGTTGATTTCTTCTATTTTCTTTTGTATCTGGAAAATCAGCAATAAACAAAATTCAATAAAGTGGCAAATTCGTTTGAACTATGCACGATTTAAACGACAGAGAGCTTTTGCATTACATTAGTTTGAATTTTACTCAGAATTGCCTGTAAGTGACAGGCGGTAAGGGAGTAATACCACCGATCCGATCTAACTATCCTTCAAACTCCTTCATCACGCCCAATCCTTAGTTCATCGAGTTAACCATGCGGTCTTGTGCTGAGTCAACCTTCCGAGATGACGCTAGTCAAGCATCTACTCGTTCCACATTCTGGACATCGGGCCATGGGCTAACAGTATCGATCAATCAACAGCCATGTATTTCAAACATAAGTCGTGTGACTCGAAGAACAAGGATGATGATTAGTTGATATACGTTTGATTAGTGATATTGCTGTTTATTGACTCCCCTTGATTTCTCTGAGTAACCAGGTCTCTACTTCTGTGGCCTTTTACCTGCGTACCGGTTACGGGAGATTCCAGTCTACTATTAATAGTGCGATTCTGTTTCGGTTGTGACCGTAATTCTTGATCCGTAATCCGATATCTACTTCGATTATTTCAGGTCTCCTTTCACGAGAGCGCACTCATCAATGGTGCATATCCACCCACCTGACTGGGCTTTGAACTCACATTGGCGGAGCTTGTGTGTGTGTTATCATTGTTCCGATTAGCTCAACCCCAGCTAAACTAAATAGCCTATGTATCATGTTTGTTCAGCTATCGTTCGGCTTTAGAGACAGTCAGTCTTAACTTCGGGCCTGACAGCAACGAAGGGAGGCATACCGTACTATCGGTCTGGTTCAATTAAACACCTTCCGCTAACACTGATTTGCCTTACATGTTTGATTGTGCGGCCCCAATTAAACTTGCTAGGACATACATCCGCAAGAAAAGTATTACACCCCTCCCCTCCTGGAATTTGCACATCGAAGCCACCTTATCACTCAGTGCAATATTTTGAATCATGACCATGTCGATATCATTCTACTCCCGAATCAACTATGGCTTTTATTCGTGCTTTGTGATGTGAAGACTAGTGTTTGTACTCTAAGTTAGAATAACCCAAATGTTTTCTACTGGACTGGAATCTGTCTTGCACGAAGGCCGCACCATTTTCTGATGTGGCGAAATAACCATGTACATTGTCTTGAATACGGTGATATCTTGTTGATAAATGGCTTCAGGGTGATCATTCGATGCCATGGCTGGCAGGGTAAGAAAGCGTGTGCATCAAAATCATGCACTCCATGCAGTGCAGAGAGTTCGGTTGGATACTTGATTGCCAAAGCGCCCCGTACCACCAAGGATGTTTCATCAACCGTCTGACAGGTGAAATGTCTCCCGTTAAATTCGTTCGATTAGGTTCTACAAGTGACATGGTTTTCAGTGCACAACGCAAGTTTTCTGTCCATAATTGCTAGAGCTATGTGCCCTTCAATTTTCTTGTATTTCGTCCTGGAGACTGTTTCAATAGTTCCTTTTGAACCTCTAGCACCAAAACTTTCAGCTTCATCACCGTTCCAATCTCCGATGCATGACTCAGGGAGTTTGAAGCCATACGCAACAATATACCTTTCTTTTCTAAAAGAGAGAATTCTCTGGTGTCTATTCAATTTATATCGGGTGCTTAGCTATTTCTGCTTCGAATATCGTGCCACAGTGTGATTGGGATCCATCACAGCACCTGACCATCTTATGTATGTTGTCACTGAGTTCATGAAAGGCATCACTTCTGGATTTCGCCCTAGCAATTAGCCTATTCCATCGCGTCATGTTTGGCAATGTCTGCTGGTGACCTACTTGGATGTCCTTTTTTCGAGTCCAATGAGTGTAACGTGAGAATCACCGTGTATTAGACTAGTTTATCAACCACTAACTCATTCACCAGTTTACATGACAAGGCACAGACTCGGGATGTCTACTGCATCCGTTTTAAAACCGAGCTAAGTGTGTGAAGTCCATGGGAGTTGCAATACTTATGTAGCGGGTAGAATTCAGTTCCTTGAACATATTGCCGTAAAATTAAGAGGTAATTTGATGAAATTTCCTACAAGAGCTTTTCGTTCACTTTCCAACTATAGATTCACGAAAATGTTGGTGTTGGTCGGGCGGAGTGGAGCTAATCCAAACATTCAGGCAAGGGGTGCAATGCTTTTATCGCAGTGTGTATTTTGCTTCGCATTTAACTCACAGTTATCTAAGAGTAGTGGAGTGGGCTTTATGCTATGGATCTGGACTGACCGGACATGACATGTCCTGCTGGTCACCTCTAATGGGAATGCAACTCGAGTTTATTCTGCTTCCTCAACGTATGCTTCACTGAGTTAACTGAAGACTGTGTGCGTGTGTGCGGATAGAATCTGAAGGATGGTCAGTCCAAAAAGATTCCATACGACTGAAGTTAAATCAGATTAATGTGGCATTAGATCAGAACACATAACCAGTCTCCTTCAAAAGGTTATAAAATTACCAGATAGCACAACGCTGCGTCCTATCAGCCGATAAAAATGAAATACCTTCGACAGGGAATGAACACACACAATTCCATTCGAAAGGGACATACCACTGAAAATCCTGGACTCCCGTTCATTACACACACGCACTTCTTTGAGACGGTACTACATCTCGCTTTCGGGACTCACATGGTAGTATTTCATAAATGCGAATTGTTTGGCAGTGGAAATAAAATTCGTGTTGGATAAATCAAGTTATGTGTGCATGCGTGTTTGTGTGTTGGTCCTAGGTTTGACTAATTGTCAATCACAGACAATCGTAAGCAATATATAGTTAGATAAGCTGCAGAATGCTGAAAGCCGAAAACGGTGATGAATAAGTTTCGATACAGCATTGCTTGAACTCGGATCAGGATGGTATCATATGCATGGGCAACAGGAGAGGCCGATAATGGGACAAGATCAGTTGAATTCTTCCGATGTTTATAACATTTCCAGTTTTTAGAACGATGAGCGTTTTCACGATTCGAAAAATTGTCTGCAGATCATTTCAGTATTCACTTTTGAAAAGATATGAAGAATACGACTGCTTATGCTATCTTGTGAGCAGCAGACAGCAAGACATTACTCGGTATTCATTTTATACAAATGAACCCATTTAATAAACAATAGAGATGGGCATGAATCTGAACATTGGTTGAGTCTATTCATACGGTTCTTCCCCCTTCTCGAAAGTTTTACCAGGTCCTCGTATCAACTCTCCGTTGGTCCTTTGCAAGTATTTATGATAAATTGTTTCGTTTTATACAGTAACCACGGTAAACATCGTGTTCTATCCATTACCTAACCGCGATCGCACCTCACTTCAAAACATCGCGGAAAAACAGATGTCCATGGGCAACTTAGTCACGAAATTCCCAATGCATCTCACATGCCACGCCAAACTGTGTCCGGAGCAAAAATGATCCTGTATGTACAAGTTAGAGTAATTGTTAAATTTCAGTTGGAGTTTATGGCTCCTATATGTCCATTTCACAAAATTAGGGTTAAACGTTTCTATTGTAAGTAGACGGACATCCAATTCAGTGGAGGCCTATACTAAACTGGGTGAGATGTATCGCCCGCAACAAGCTTTCAAAGATGGGTTGTCGTGTATAGAGCGAAAATTAAAAATGGCCTTATTAGCTATCATTGGGTTATATATATATATATATATATATATATATATAT